CGGACAGACAGACATCCGGATTTCAACTCTACTCGTCAGCCTGATCACTTTGGTATATATAACCCTATATCTGACTCTTTTAGTTTTAGGACTTACAAATAACCGTTATGTGAAGAAAACTATAATACACTCTTTAGCAACTTTGTTGCGAGAGTATAAATATATACCTGCGAAACATGAGGAAGAAGCCATAAGGCAAATTAGGGCGCTAGAAAAACATGGTATAATTCGGAAAAGTAGAAGTAAATATAGTTCACTTATTATCATAGTACCAAAAATGTGTGATAGCGTGGGAAATACAAAATTTCGGTTAGTAATCGATTACCGTAAACTAAATTTAATAACTGTCGATGATAAATATCCTTTGCCAAACAATTATGGAATCTTCGACAAGTTGGGCAAGGCGCAGTACTTTAGCACGCTTGATCTAGCCAAAGGTTATCATAAAATTTTAATGGATAAAAAGGATATTGCTTTTAGATCTCCGGTGGATTAAACGAATATATATGAATGCCCTTCGGACTAAAAAATGCTCCGGCTACCTTTCAACGACTAATGAATGACATATTAAGAGAATACATAAATAAGATATGTGTCATTTATTTGGTCGAATGTATTAATCTTTTCAACGTCATTAGAGGAACATTCAAACGCCTTATAACTGAGACAGACCTGTAGTAACAATACCATATATGGTACGAATACCATATGTGTGTCACCAAATACTAGCAAAATACCATATATGGTACAAATACCATATGTGTGTCACCAAATCCTAGCAAAATACCATACGAGCAATGTAGTATTTTGCTGGTAACAATACTATGATGTTTCATTGTGGTATTTGTAAAAACACAGCTAAAAAACAGGTAACAAACTTTGCTAAAAGCTTTTATACAAAAGCTCTTTGAAATTTTCTGTCACGACGACCATAAATGACTTAAAAAATTAGTTTATGAAAGGGAAAACAAAACTTTTTTTTAAAGCTTTTTCTTTTTTTCTGCCGGAAAAGCAGGAAATGCCTCATTTAATGTGAGGATTTTGGGGAGACTTTAACCAAATCGTTTTTTTGCGATGAAAATAGATTAAATTTACAGTATTTGAAATAATTATACTTATTTTTGTCACAACACACAACCATATATTTATTGTTTAAATTTTTTTAATAAAATATTCAATGCCTAAGGTAGTATTTGAGTTTACTACATTGCCATGTGTGTCACCAACGTAGTAAACAGAATACCATGATACCTTTAATATGGTATTGTTACTACATGTCTTTCACTTTTTCAAGTACTGGAAGGAGACTGATGTCCCGGTAAGACCGAGGATTGCTCCTCATCTTATCAAGGAACTTCAGGAGAGGAACAACCATATCAGTTGTCTACTCACGTGGAAAGTATCCCTCCCAGACGCATTAATTATAAATGGCCTACAGTTATTCCGTAATGAACTTCCACAAGCGTTTACACATCTCTCTGTTTAAACCATCCRAACCTGGGGACCGTTTAGACCTAACCAGGCCAAAAGCGTACCCCAACTCCCCGTCATCTAATGGAGGGACAAGTACTATAACTAAATTCATACCTTAGCTGGGACAGACTACCAAAATTGGATCGTCGGACGCTCTGAAACTTTTGCTTCAATCGCCTCACAGTCCTCCTCTTCAAGGGTAGCTCACGCGTCCACCATTTAATCTTCCTAGTCATATAACCTTCACACCTCCTAAGTACCCTATCATTTATCCCACAAACTACCCCATACAGACGAGCAATTTGCTCGTCCAACTCCAACTCAAATTCCCTAAGCGGTATACTAAACACCGCTTCCCTAAACGAGAGTCCATATTGGTTCCAGTCAGTACCAGTGGTACGACATCGCCGCAATGGACTCTCATAAGGCGAGAGAGGAGGGGTAACAATAATTTGAATTAAATTATGATCACGCAGTCCCCACCTTTCCTTATCCTCCCATCTAACGTTGAAAGCCCTATTTGCTGTCTGATCCCTAAGCGTCACATCAATGTCGCTCACGCCCTCAGGCCCATCGAACGTATAACATTCACTCGGCTCATTCCCAATGGGGAGGCTATTAGCCACCTCCCATTCGCTTAAGGCCTCGCCTCGTCTGTGGCTTTGGTATCCAGACGAATGCCGGGAAGAATAAATGGGCTACTACTCGTTAGCTTAGCCAAATAACCCAGAAAGGGCTGGCTATATTTACGGTATACTAGCGACAATCATCCAACCGAACTCCCCTTTTTTCGCTACACATACACCCAGTTGTGAAGAATCCGTGAAGACTTTAAAACCCTCAGGTAGACCCAGAACCACACCATTGCTAGCGTAGGGCTCCTGGAATAGCCCTCCATCCTCAACCA